GGAAAACAGGGAAACAGGGAACAAGGAAAACAGGGAACAGGGAAAACGGAAAGAGGGGAGACAGGGAACAGGGAAAACAAGGAACAGGGAAAACAAGGAAAACAGGGAACAGGGAAAACAGGGAACAGGGGAAACAGAGAACAGGGAAAACAGGGAAAATAGGGAAACAGGGAAAATAGGGAAAACGGAGAACAGGGAAAACAGGGAACAGGGAAAACAGGGAACAGGGAAACAGGGAACAGGGAAAACAGGGAACAGGGAAACAGGGAAAACAGGAAAACGGGGAAACAGGGGAAACAGGGAAAACAGGGAACAGGGAAACAAGGAAAACAGGGAACAAGGAAAACAGGGAACAGGGAGCGGGAGCCGCTCCCAGCTCCCGGGAATTGTCCCCTCCCGGCATTCCCGAATCCCGCGCAAAGGTCCCGGTCCCGCCCTGTTGTTCAAACAAACTCATTCCCGGCGGGATAAATCCCAGGAAATTTCGGGAGCCAGGACAGGGTTGGCTCCAGGGGGTGGAAATCGGGGATTTCCCCGGTTTTTTTTCTCCCGGGACACCTCCAGGCTTTTCCTGAAGTTTTCCTGCGCTCCCGGAGCTTTTTCCAGGCTCCCGGAGATTCCCGGGAGGTGGGAATTGTGTCCCCGCCCCCTTTCCCGCAGGTGCCTCTGGAGCGGGATCGGGAAATTCCAGCGGGGATTGACTCGTTCCGCGGGGGCTTTTTTTTTCCCAGGAAATGAAATCCCGCCTGGATCCGGGATCGTCCAAGGTGTGTGATCCCTCTGGAGCCGGGAAAAGGTGGGAATTCGGGATTCAGACCCAGGGATTTGGGATTCAGCCCCAGGATTTGGGATTCAGCTCCAGGGGTTTGGGATTCAGTTCCAGGGATTTGGGGTTCAGCCCCTGGGATTTGGGATTCAGCTCCAGGACTTGGGATTCAGCCCCTGGGATTTGGGATTCAGCCCCTGGAATATTTGGGATTCAGCCCCTGGGATTTGGGATTCAGCTCCAGAGATTTGGGATTCATCCCCGGGAATCTGGGATTCAGCCCCAGGATTTGGGATTCAGTCCCTGGGATTTGGGATTCAGCCCCCGGGATTTGGGATTCAGCTCCCGGGATTTGGGATTCAGCCCCAGGGGGTTGGAAAAGTGGGAATACTCCAGGCAGGAAGGAATTCCCACCTTCGGAGTTGGGAAACTCCCGGCACGGAATTCCACCCCTCCGGCTCCTCCCCGCCTCTGGATTATCCATAAATCCCATGGGAAGCACCCCCGGGAGTCGGGAAGGGACCGTTTGACCCCGAGGCTCTCCCTGATCCCTAAAAACCTTTGGAGAAGGGAATGCGGGGGGTGAGGGGGGGAGAAAGGGGGAGCGGGGCCGGATTTGGGGAATCTCGTGGGAATGGGAGCGGAATTCCCGGCCCCGGGATCGGCGGGAAAAGGGTTAACAGGGAAAAGGCTCCGTTTGTGCCGCGTGGTTCCCGGTTTGTTTGGAATGTGGGAGAGGAGGAGGAGGAGGAGGAGGAAGGGGGAGAGAGGGGGAGGGTCCGGGCCAGAACCCCGGGAATCGGGAATTGCGGGGAGTCAGGAATTCCCTGGATCCCTGGATTTCGGGAATCAGGGACCCCCTGGATCCCTGGATTTCAGGAGTTAGGAATCCTCTGAAACCCTGGATTTGGGGAGTCAGGGACCCCCTGGATCCCTGAATTTGGGGAATGAGGAAGCCCCTGGATCCTTGGATTTGGGGAGTCAGGAATTCCCTGAATCCCTGGATTTGGGGAGTCGGGGACCCCCTGGATCCCTGGATTTGGGGAGTCAGGGACCCCCTGGATCCCTGGATTTGGGGAGTCAGGAATCCCCTGGATCCCCGGATATGGGGAGTCAGGAATCCCCTGGATCCCTGGATTTGGGGAATCAGGATCCTCTGGATCCCTGGATTTGGGGAGTCAGGGACCCCCTGGATCCCTGGATTTGGGGAGTCAGGAATCCCCCGGATCCCTGGATTTAGGGAGTCAGGAATTCCCTGAATCCCTGGATTTAGGGAGTCAGGAATCCCCTGGATCCCTGGATATGGGGAGTCAGGGACCCCCTGAATCCCTGGATTTCGGGAATCAGGGACCCTGTGGATCCCTGGTTTTGGGGAGTCAGGGACCCCCTGGATCCCTGGATTTGGGGAGCCAGGAATCCCCTGGATCCCCGGATATGGGGAATCAGGAATCCTCTGGATCCCTGGATTTGGGGAATCAGGGACCCCCTGGATCCCTGGATTTGGGGAGCCCCGGGAATTGGGAATTGCGGGGCTGGGACCCTGAAAATTGGGAACTGGGGAGGCTGGGACCCCGGGAACCGGGAATTGAGGGGTTGGGACCCCGATAATTGGGAATTGGGGGTCTGGAACCCCGGGAATGGGGAATTGTGGAGTTGGGACCCCGGGAAGAAGGAGGAGGAGGAAGAGGAGGAGGAAGAGGAGGAGGAGGAGGAGCAGCTCCGTCCTTCCTCCTCCTCCTCCAGGACTCCGAGCGGGAATTCCCGGCGGGTCCAAAGTGCCGCCGGAACTCCCGGGAATTCCGGGATGGGCACGTGGTGACCCCCCGTGACCCCCCCGATCCCGATCCCGATCCCGCCGCTCCAGGGCTGAGTTTGGCCGCTCCCAGTATGGATATGGGGAGGGAAATCCCAAAATCCCTGTTCTAGGGGGAGGGATCATCCCAAAATCCCTGTCCTGGGGGGTGGGATCATCCCAAAA